GGGAGACGTGGATGTGTCCGTGCCAAAGATTGAGGGCGACCTCAAGGGTCCTGAAGTAGACATCAAAGGCCCAAAAGTGGACGTGGACCTTCCTGATGTGGAGCTGCATGGTCCCGAAGGAAAAGTGAAGGGGCCCAAGTTCAAGATGCCTGAGATGCACTTCAAGGGCCCCAAGTTCTCCATGCCCGATGTGGACCTGCACCTGAAGGGCCACAAAGTGAAGGGAGAAATGGACATCTCCGTCCCAAAAATAGAGGGTGACCTGAAAGGGCCTGACGTGGAACTGAAAGGTCCCAAAGTGGACATCGATGTTCCTGATGTGGAGCTGGAATGTCCCGAGGGCAAAGTGAAGGGCCCCAAGTTCAAGATGCCCGAGATGCACTTCAAGGCCCCAAAAATCTCCATGCCTGACTTCGATCTGAGCCTGAAGGGCCCCAAGGTGAAGGGGGACGTGGATGTGTCCATGCCCAAACTGGAAGGGGATATAAAAGGCCCCGACCTTGACATCAAAGGCCCCAAAGTGGATGTTGAGGTTCCCGATGTTGAGCTGGAAGTTCCAGAAGGGAAACTCAAAGGTCCCAAATTCAAGATGCCAGAGATGCACATCAAGGCACCAAAGATCTCCATGCCTGACATCGACCTGAACCTGAAGGGCCCCAAAGTGAAGGGCGACGTGGATGTGTCCGTGCCAAAGTTGGGAGGGGACCTGAAGGGTCCTGAGGTGGACATCAAAGGACCCAAAGTGGACGTGGACCTTCCTGACGTTGATTTGCAGTGTCCTGAAGGGAAAGTGAAGGGCCCCAAATTCAAGATGCCTGAAATGCACTTCAAAGCCCCCAAGATCTCCATGCCTGACTTTGATCTGAGCCTGAAGGGCCCCAAAGTGAAGGGAGACATGGATGTGTCCGTGCCAAAGGTTGAGGGCGATCTGAAGGGACCTGAAATGGATATCAAAGGTCCCAAAGTGGACGTGGACCTTCCTGATGTGGACATTGAGGGACCTGAAGGGAAAGTGA